GGCCACAGCCCGCGTGCAGCACGGAAAAGGGCTCGGGTCGCTCCTGGCCCGCAATTTCAAGATGAAGCATCTTGCCTCTAAGCAGAGAAGAGAGAGTGGAGGAAAGAAAAAGAAAGAAATCCTGGCCTATGACCTAATATCCCCTACGGAAAAACCTGTAACTTATGTGGGCAGGTTTGTGGCTCAAGGACTGAACTCTTAATTTACCTCAAGACCTATCAATGAGCCAGGGCAGAGATCATCCTCTAATTGCAGGCCTGCTGCCATCACAAACTCAAAGAGCTTATGCTCAAAGATTACTCGCTCTGTGACCCCTGAAAACACTTTGGAGTCATTGCTTTTTAGAACACAGTTCCAAACTCTGCACATTTATTCTTACATGTATGACTCTGCTATCATGGCATTCCAGATAACCCTTTTTACTAAACAACCTGAATCATTCTGGTAGATAAAATTCATCTCATTGCTTATGTCACGCCACAGTTTTTGTATCATCCACAAACTTTACCAATAATTACTTTATACTTTCTTCCAGATGACTGATAAACATACTGAATTGCATTTGACAAAGAAGATGAGCCCGTGAGAAATCTCTCATTAGATGATGATTTCCCAATTATAACTACTTTTCAGATCCGCCAGCCAGCTTTTCATTTAACAAGCCAATGAATTATCAAACAAAATGACTACAGGTAATCAGGGACTTCCAACTCTTTAGCAGCTTGTTAACTGAAAAGGAAACAGTTCACCAGCTTGCAACTTTACATCCCAGATGCGGGTAAGGCCACAGCAGGCAATGTTGCAAAGCAGTTCACTCCCCTGTTCCTAAATTGTGTCTGCACTGTCCTGTCCCCAGCATAGCTTATGGCAATGTATATAGATCACTGACTTTTTAAACTAATAAAAAATATCAGTCGTGTGATAAGGGGTTATGCCTTGTAACTGCTTCATGGGAAAAAAATGAAGGTAGATGTGGCATTCATAGTTTCATAGTTGGTAGGGTTGGAAGGGACTTGAGCAGATCATCAAGTCCGACTCCCTGCCATGGGCAGGAAAGAAAGAAAGCTGGGGTCAAACAACCAGGTGATTATCTAGCCTCCTTTTGAAGGCCCCCAGGGTAGGAGTGAGCACCACTTCCCTTGGAAGTTGGTTCCAGATCCTAGCCGCCTTGACTGTGAACTAGTGCCTCCTGATGTCTAGCCTGAACCTACTCTCAGTCAACTTATGGCTGTATTCCTTGTTACTCCCAGTAGTGCTCAGGGAAACAGGGACTCTCCCATAGTCTGCTGGTCCCCCTTGGCCAGCTTTGTAGATGGCCACTAGATCCCCCCTCAACCTTCTCTTGTGGAGGCTGAACAGGTTCAGGTTCCAGTTCCATAGCCTCTGCTTGTAGGGCCTGCCTTGCTGCCCTGTGATCACGCGAGTGGCCCTCCTCTGGACCCTCTCGATGCTGTTCACATCCCTCCTGAAGTGCGGCGCTGAGAACTGGTCAGGCCGCAGTTGCAGTACTGTGCCCGATGTCGTATAGAGGGGGAGGATCACCTCCTTGGACCTGCTCGTGATGCATCTGTGGATGCATGACAAGGTGCGGTTAGTCTTCCTGACCGCGTCCCCACATTGGTGGCCCATGTTCATTTTGGAATCAATGACACCAAGATCCCTTTCTGCCTCTGTGCTGACGAGTAGGGAGTTCCCCAGCCTGTAGGTATGCTGCTGGTTCTTCCTCCCTAGGTGCAGTACTTTGCACTTGTCAGTATTGAATCCCATCCGGTTCTTATCCGCCCATCCCTGTAACCTGTCTAGATCTAGTTGCAGCCTGTCCCTCTCCTCCAGCGTGCCCACTTCTCCCCACATCTTAGTGTCATCCACAAATTTGAACAGGGTGCTTTTCACCCCCTTGTCCAAGTCGCTGATGAAGATGTTGAACAGTATCGGCCCAAGGACCGAGCCCTGGGGGACCCCACTGCCTACATCCCTCTAGGTCGAATAAGTCCCGTCCATCACCACTCTCTGGGTGTGACCCTCCAGCCAATTTGCGACCCATCTGACTGTAGGCATCGACACCACAGTCACTTGATTTCTTAATGAGAATGGGGTGAGAAACAGTGTCGAAGGCCTTCCTAAAGTCCAGAAAGACTACTTCCACCGTGACACCTGCATCCAAGGATTTTGTGACCTGGGTGTAGAAGGCCACCAGGTTGGTCTGACGTGGTCTGATGCTTTCATAAGCATCTACACTGTTTTTCACATCCTTGTAATCTTGAAAAATACTTTAAATGTAAAACAATGTATGTTTTAAGTGTTTTGTTACTTTATTGTATTGAAACAAAAATGTAACTTAAAATTTGTCAGCTGAATGCCCACTTTCATAGATTTATAGATTGTAGAGTCAGAAGGGACCACAATAGATCATCGTATCTGACCCCCTGCCTCTGGCAGGAAAGAGGACAGAGGTCAGATGACCCCAGTCAGGTGACTATCAAGCCTTCTCTTGACGACCTCCAAGTTAGGTGATAGTACTACCTCTCTTGGAAGCCCATTCCAGATTCTGGCCACCCTTACTGTAAAAAATTTCTTCCTAATGTCTAACCTAAATCTGCTCTCCGCTAGTTTGCACCCATTATTCCTAGTTACTCCCTGGGATGCTCTGGTAAATAGCACATCACCAATTCCCTGTTGTCCTCCCTTGATAAACTTATAGGCGGCTACAAGGTCTCCCCTCAGCCGTCTCTTGTGAAGGTTGACGAGATCCAGATCTCTGAACCTCCCCTTGTAGGGTCTTTCATGGAGGCCACTAATCATGCGAGTGGCCCTCCTCTGAACCCTCTCCAAATTCTCCGTGTCCCTCTTGAAGTGCGGCGCCCAAAACTGGACACAGTACTCCAAGTGTAGCCTGACCAATGCCGCATAGAGGGGGATGATCTGCTAATACACGACAAGGTGCGACTGGCTTTGTTGATGGCCTCGTTACACTGCCGGCTCACGTTCATCTTGGGGTCAACTATGACTCCAAGATCTCTCTCAGCCTCTGAGCTGCTAAGGAGGTCAACCCCCAACCTACAGGTGTGCTGGGGATTCCTCCTTCCTAAGTGGAGTACCTTACATTTATCTTTGTTGAATTGCATCCTATTTCGTTCCGCCCATTGATCCAACCTGTCCAGGTCGGCCTGTATCTGCTCCCTGCCCTCTGCTGTGTTAAGTGTGCCCCATAACTTGGTATCATCTGCGAACTTGGAGAGGGTGCTCTCCACACCCTCATCCAAATTGCTGATGAACAGATTAAATAACATTGGTCCAAGGACCGAACCCTGAGGGACCCCACTGCCCACCTCCTTCCAGGCTGAGAACAACCTGTCCACCACCACCCTCTGGGTGCAGTCCCTAAGCCAGTTGGCCACCCACCTGACTGTGGAGGCGTCTGCTCTACAGCCTGCTAGCTTCCCTATGAGAATACGATGTGAAACTGTGATGAAGGCATTCCTAAAATCCAGGCAGATGGCATCGGCCTCAGCTCCTGTGTCAAGGCAGTGTGTGACCTGGTCATAAAAAGCTATAAGGTTTGTCAGGCAGGATCTTTCTGTGACGAACCCATGCTGGTTTCTTTTCAGCATCATTTCCCCTGCTGGGCCTTCACAAATGCACTCTTTGATTTTTTTCCAGTATTTTCCCAGGGATAGAGGTAAGACTGACTGACCTAAAGTTACCTGGCTCATCCCTTCTCCCCTTCTTAAAAATGGGCACCATGTTGGCCCTTTTCCAGTCCTCGGGGATCTGGCCAGAGCACCATGAGTGCTCAAACAGCTGTGCTAGCAGCTCAGCTACGACACCAGCCAATTCCTTCAGCACCCGTGGATGGAGGTCGTCTGGGCCAGCTGACTTGTACCCATCCAGCCCTTCCAAGTGCTCCTTAATTAAGTCAGCAGTAACCTCTGGCAGTCTTATGCCTTTTGGACATCTGTCTATGCTCAAGGTGGGGGAATTGTCTTGGTCAGTACTTAGGAATACTGAAGCAAAGAACTCATTGAAGAGCTCTGCCTTTTTTCCTGTGTAAACCACCAACTATCCTGACTTGTCCTGCAGGGGCCCTATGTTACTCTGTGCTTTCCTTTTGCTCGCTATGTATCTGCAGAAGGACTTTTTATTGTCCTTAATTGTTGAAGCCTGCCTAAGCTCCAGTGCTGCCCTGACCTGCCTAATTGATTCCCTGCAATAGCACGCCAGGGAGGTGTATGCCTCTTTGGTGGCTGCCCCCTGCTTCCACTGCCTATAAATCTTTCTTTGCCCCCAGTCTTTCCTGGAGTTCCCTCTTCAGCTCCTTTCCTGGAGTTCCCTTTATGCTAAGGCTTCTTAAAACAAAGGTATATGGGTAACATCAAAAACAGTTTCATGCTATTTTAATTGTCTATCCTTTTGAAGTTTGCACGTCCATAATTCCAAATGAAGAGACTTATAGAAAAGCAATGAAAAATTGTAAATTAATATGCAATAAAGCAAACTGCAGTACATCTTTTGATCAATTTTTCCACTTATGTGTGCAACTGCTGATATTCTTTGTGGGCTAAACACAACAGTGTATTTAAGCAATTGATTTTTAAGTATGTAGATGACCTGATGGAATAGCAGAAAGCTACTATTTTAAGTAACAAGGATGACTTGTGTGTTATAGTACCTGCATTTAAGTACCTTTCTGAATTGTCCTATAATAGGTATATCTTTGTCAGGAAATTTGTATAATGTGTATTCCAATTGTAGAAGCTGTTCAACCAGCACACATACATATAAAACGTATATAAATAAATACAATTGATAGAATACAGAGAGCAACTTACTTATACACTTGTATACATCTGTTATTATTATACATTTTCAAAGAAAAATATTTTTCATGGAAATCTACTATTCTATAGAATCTAAATGAAACACAAAATTCTGAAATGATTGGTAAAGCTGGGAAGCTAACTAGAAATTCATAGTTATCATTTCCAATAATATGCTCTTACCTTCCTCTTCCTTTCCTTTTGGTTTTTCAGCTTTTTCTTCTCTTTGTTGCTTTGCTTCTAGCAGTTCACGTTTCAGCTGGCGTGCTTCTTTCCGTAGTTCCTCACTGCAAAGAGAACAATATTTATATAATTCTAATCTTCTGAGAATGTAGAGCTATTCAGGAGAAACAGAATCAAAGTTAATAGGCAGTAAATCTCTGATGTAAACAAAGGGAATGTACTGACTCACTCATGTTAAGTTTGGTATGAAGAGCATGGCTTAAAAGTCAGTTAGAACCTTAAAAAGCTCTTCTTTTACATTAGCAAAGACAACAAAAAAGTATGACAAATGGCTTCTTTTTAAGAGTCCATTAGGAATATATCTAGGACATGAAACAACCAAAATAGGGAAGCTACATTTATACTTTGATTCATTTATTAATTTAACATTCTATCATTCATAATATTTAACTATAAGAACCACATTTAAAAGAAAAGAGAAAATCAGAGGCATCTCCAAACAAGCATTATGCTATCCAGTAAAATTCAGTTTACTGACATGATAATTCCTTAAGATTTTAGGCTTCCTAGTTGGACAGAAAATTAAAGTTAATAGTTCTGGATAAATACAGAATAGAAGAACTGATGAGGTCAAAACTTATAAAAACTCAATGAAAATGTATACTTCAAAAACTTTTAAATATCTGAAAAGGGGAAGAAAGGAGAAACTAAATGGGAAAGAGAAAAGCAAACACCAAATGAAGAATCTATTTGCTAATGTTTGTTGTTGTTGTTGACTTCACATTTTGATCTGAATAAGCTACTTACTTTTTGATTCCCCTTTCTAGAGGGTTGCTTTTTGGTTCTTCCTATATTAACATTTGATAGATATAAAATTATGAACTAGTAAGTTGGTTCTTGTCTATGACTAGTCAGTCAATTCTTGAATAAGACTATCATTATATTTTTTGAAGAGATGATTTAGGAATTGAAAATAGGTATTGTTACTGGTAGAAAAAAAGTAAGGGGTTGATGATTAATCTATATTTCAAACTCTCTTGATGCTCTAGTCCATATTTCCTCTATTTTGTATTTTAAATTGTGACAGATTTAGTGCTCATTAAAGTAAATGAACTGCAGAATTGCCTAAACCCAGACATAATACAAGAATGTGCTGTGCAAGCTTCTTTGCATAGCTCTCTCAATGCATTTTATATATCTGCAATACCTTTGTTACTCCAGTCCTGGGTTGCTTGTGAGGAAAGACTAAGAACTGTGTGAGGGGTTTTTGTTTGTTTGTGTGTTTTTTCCTTAAATCATGTATTCAAGTATGATGCTTGTGAAAGTACTAGAGTCTGAAGTCATTGATTCATTTACAGAACCAAATATAGCATGGTAAGGAATACTACACATTGCATCCCATTGGCTAAAGGGATCACTGGGGCAGATAGGAACATCTCATCTTCATTCTGATTCAATCCTTCACTTCTGTAACAAGGTATGTCTGCTACCTAACTTTACTAACAGATGCAGGACCCCTTCAGGTAGCATATTAATTCTTGCTGACTCAGAGTAACAGAATCTTTGTACAGTTTAAGCTTAATATAAGGGAGCCTTTCATAAAAAAAGCTAGGTTTTCCAATGGATGAGACTGGGTTGGATTGGAGAAAAGATCTGTTGCCAGATTCTATTCCATCTTTTAGGCAGGCAAGGTTCTTTGAGTAGATTAAGGTTTCAGGCTGAAGAAGTTGGAAAAAAGTTGAAGAAGGGTGACTGCACCTGAAAGCTTGTTAAGAACCTTTTTCCGACTACTCAGTTGGTCTAATAAAAGATATTGCATCTACCCAATGGACCTTGTCTGCCTCTGACCTTAGACCAACACGGCTACAACCAAAAACTCAAATTCCATCTTTTAGAAACCTTTAGTAAAATCCTATTCCACCCTGTTCAAATCTTTTAAAAATTGTTAATACAATTGTTAAATTGTTAATTAATACAATTGTTAAGTAAATTGTTGGATGGATCCTTCTCTAGCGTGTTACAAGGTAAACGCATCATCAATGTTTCATAGTTTCATAGTAGCTAGGGTTAGGAGGAACCTGAACAGATCATCTAGCCTGACCCCCTGTCACAGGCAGGAATGAATGCTGGGTTCACAAGACCCCAGACAGGTGATTGTCCAACCTCCTCTTGAATATGCCCAAGGTAGGGGCGAGGACCACTTCCCTGGGAAGTTGGTTCCAGATTTTGGCCACCCTAACTGTAAAATATTGCCTCTTGCTGAGGCTGAACAGGTTCAGGTCCAGGTCCAGGTCCTTCAGTCTCTCCTCGTAGGGCCTGTCCTGCTGCCCTCTCACCAAGCGGGTGGCCCTCCTCTGAACCCTCTCCAGGCTGGCCACATCCCTTCTGAAGTGTGGCGCCCAGTACTGGATGCAGTACTCCAACTGTGGCCTGACCAAAGTCGCATAGAGGGGGAGTATCACCTCTCTGGACCGGCCTGAGATGCACCTTTGGATGCATGACAAGGTA